ACACACACACACACACACACACAAGTCAATCATATATAATATCTCTAGCGAAAAAAAATTTTTACGAAAAAGAATAGAAAACTATAAAAATTGACGAGATTAGAAATTCTTAATTTTTCATAGATATTCGTAATGGAAAAGTGGCATTTTTTGAGGGCGGAGAATTTTTTGGTTTCTCAAAATAAACAATGCTATTCTACGTCTAACTACGAAAAACTAAAATCTTGTCTGAATCTATGTAGTTTTTTGTAAAAACTTTTCGTCAGGGATATTAAAAGAATTAAATATAAAATAGTGCACATAAATATTATACATTAAACATATATTTTAATTTCTCTACGTATAAAATTCAAGATAGATAAAAATTGCTTATTAATACAAAATATATCTAAATCAGAAAATAAAATTAAAACATTAATGTGGTATCATTATAAAACTTTCATACCAAAGCTTATATCTATATATTAATAAAGTTATCATGAAGATATTTCTTATATAAAATGTTTTAGTTTAATATCATTTTATAAGACTAAAAATATCGATATCACAATACAAACTCAAACAAATAAAATTATTTAAATATTTTACTCCTAATATAAAAATAAATTATTAATTTTAATCTTATATAACGTTTAAAAATTTTAAACTACTTTCAAAAAAATGTAATATATTGAGTACTGCTTATAAAATTTTCTTTTAATACAGAATCTATATATAAAGAAAATATTAAAATTTAAATACGAGAAAGTATTCTTCTTTTTTGGTCCTCTAGCGACGAATTAAGGAACCCAAAAATCAAGAATTAAAATGGATTGAAAGCAACATAAAAATAAAAAAAGATTAAATATAATTGAGCATTTTTTAAAAACAAACATTATAAATTCAATTAATATTTAATTAATAATGTAAAGGCATAGACAAATTTTTCCTATGAACAAATAATATTTAGCCAAATTTTTTTAATTCATCGATTGATCAATCGGTGAATTAAAAAATTCGTCCTAGATCATATCAAGTTTTGCCGAATTCATTCTTTGCATTGTAGTAATAATTACATTATAAAAATGAAGATAAAAAATTGTCTTGTGTTACGAATTTATGTTTACATTCGATAGTAATGATTACATTAATAATAGTATTCTTATAAGATAGTAACAGTATTCTATTAGAAGAAACTGATTTTGAATACAAAAACAAAACGTTATGAAAAATGAAATGATATTGATTTAAATATCATCAGCCTGTAATAATATCTTTACACATTCTCACACATTCTCTTTTTGAATAAATTGAATATCATTAAAACTTATATAAATATCCAAATTGAGTACAATTTATTATTTAATTCAAATATATGTATATATAATTTATATCTATATTACACGATATGAGAAATTATTTAACATTTAAATATAATAATTAATTTTATAATTTATAAAAATATTTATATATTATTTTAATATTTCTATAATATTAATGTGTTAAGAGATTGTATAATAGAGCGGGAGTGGAAATACAATTTTACTCAAGTAATATATTTGCTAAATTAAATATTATATTGTCAGTGCATATATGATGTATTGGCATAAATTAATCGAATTTATTATATACCAAATGTATAATATATATCATCATAATTTTTAATCAAATTTTATTAATTATTGATAATAGTTTTCTTTATTAGGGTTGATGTTATTACATGACTGTCAAAACCTATAAAGATATATGTATATCAACAAAAATCATTTAAATCTTTTATGAGTATAAAAATGTTAAGTAATATGTTGTACATTTTGTTATATATATATACTTATTTTAAATGTATAATAGCTTTTTTTATTATTTTTTTACATTGAGATATAATATTTACAATAATATAAATAATATAAAATACAATACAATAATAATAATATAAAATATATATAATACGCATGTGATATAATATAATATGTATATGCAATAATAAAGATATTTTGAATATAAAATAATTCTTAAAGATTTCTTAATGATACAAAATGGTTGAATATAACAGGGCAATAGGAGTTAAGCTCGGTAATTCTTGTGCAAACCAATACGGTTAACAAAACAACTTTATTAATAATTAATTCGTTAAACATGCTTGCCCTGTTATATCCAGTCAAAGATATTTTGGATGAGAAGCTGGTATTAATAACTTTGATAGATAAAAAATATTATTTGAAAAACTGACCATATAATTTTTGAGATACTTTGATATTTAAATAAAAATGAAATAATTATGTGAAGAGCAAATATATAAATATCAATAAACAAAAGCAAAATTCTGACATTTTTTTCATTTTATACAATTAATTATATATTAATTTTAATATGATCTATTTTACATATGGATAATGAACTCTATCCTGATGTAACACAATGAAATGACTTTATAAAGAATTTAAATTGAGTTTCTATTTAAGTTGATCCTAGAATATCCATATTTGTCGTCGTATCTTGGACATTGCTATGTGCAATCATATATTCTGAGACAGATATATACATTGCAACCAATAAACCAATAACGCTTGCAACATAAACGTTACGCTGCAAAATGATGCATGTTGCCACACAAAGTCCGAAATATGTAAGATATCTCGCCAGATTTTCTTGTTTCTTGCGGCCAAGAAGATCTGAATCTAAATTAATATAAATTATAAATATACATTTAAAATATATTATATTATATTGTTCTTTATAATATTGTACTTACTTATACATAAATTATCCTGTTTATGATAACCTTCAGTGCATCTGATGCACATGTCTGGCCCATCACCGGTGCAACCATTACAAGCTTTGTCACAAGCTAAAAAGATTTCAAGTTTTTATATATTTATATTACAAAAATAAATAATTTAGTAAAAATAGGAAACATATATACCCAAACAAGCATAATTTCCTTCTTTATTAACACAAAATTGATTGCTAGGACAAATATCGTCTTTTAAACATTCATTGATGTCAAAACATCCTTTGTCTTCAATCATGTGCCATCCAGCAGTACATTTCTCGCAATCCTTTGGACCAGCACCTCTGCAAAGTCCATCACACGCTGCATGGCATGCAGAACATAGTAAAGTTTTTTCGTCTTTGTAAGATTCATAATATCCTGGAGCACATTCTGAACAGATATCTCCAATATATTCTTTTTCACAGAAGCAGCTACCGTTTCCCTTTCTCGTGCCAGCTCCTTTACATTTGCCATTATTATTGCAGATGTTATCTGGATATCCTGGACACTGTGTACAATTTGGACCATAATGATCTTTTGGACAACAATGCTTTGTCTTTTCAATACAGATATAATCATATATATCTGGATGGGTATCTTGATGCTTAAACCACCATTCCTCTATCTGACTTTCCAATTCTTCAGCTAAAGATTGACACTGCACCTGACCATGCTCAATATCTTTACATAAGTTCTCTTGTATCTCGATCAATCGTATTTCACTTCTTGAATATGAGCCTAACTTATCCTCTTCCCAAGCGCTGTCTCCGCCTTCAAACTTTCCACGGCTTGTCTTTTCTAAACCCTACAAAATAATTATAATTTATGAAAGAGTTATTATAGAATATCCTAAAATTATGTATCTAAATAACACAATACAACTGTATGTTACGTTTCTTTTGATAGTTTTAACTTTTGATAGTTTTAACTTACAAAAAGACTTTGTATAACTTATTAGATACTTCAAAATTAAGAATCTGATTACCTTTTTGAAACTATTGATAAGTACTTTGCACGCTGCGCAGGGTGGAAATTTTTGAGACTTGAGTTCTTCCTCACTCAGTTTTCCTTTCTCGCATTGGATGCTGCTCATGCAAGTCGATAGAATCACAAAAATGCTAAGAAAAACAATGTTGGTCGACACTCGCATTATAGCGTACCGGCTATCGACACGACTACAATATATTTACAAAAAAAATTACAAAGAGGAAGCACAAAGGGAAATGTTTGTTTTATTCTCGGGAAATAAGAAGCGGATTCCCGAACGTTTATTCTATTTCAGACTAAATCATAATTGCTCCGAATAGTTTCATTTGAAACGTCTGACAGATTGATGTTCAAGGTTAGGCGGACCAGACGACAACGTGTCTGCTACATTATGGCGTAGCCAATCAGAACGCACCGCGTGCAACTCATCGATGTGTTTCCAATTTCTTGGCTAGTGATACAATATGGCGACGAGCACTTTGGACAACCAATCAAATGTTTCGAAAATGCATCCGTGTTTCTAGAGAATTTTACTTTGTAACTAGAATGTAACTAGAATAAAAATTAGAGAAAAATAAAGTATGAATCACATCTATGTTTTATATCGATATTTATAGTTTGTGGTTATATAGTGACGTGTCTCCTGTCGTGTCAAAAGTTTAAAGAATTTCGAGAGGGTGATGTTTAATTAATTACATCGTATCTCAAACAATTAGCTAAAGTGAGATGTTGACGAAGTTCGAGACGAAGTCTGCTCGAGTGAAGGGCTTGTCCTTTCATCCGAAACGTCCATGGGTGCTTGCAAGGTAAAGTGACAGGTTTTCTTTAAATTAATTTCTTGACGTTTGGTGACATTTTACTAATTAAATATTTATCTGTTTGTAAAAGTTTCATCACAATTATTTGCTGTATTAGAAAATTACTTGATAAATATTGGCATGAATTTGTAATTGCATATTGATAGACATAACCTTTTACTTAATGCACAGTACTTTCAACAATTTGAATACAGATACTAATAAAATTGTATAAAAGAGATTAATTTGTAAATTCGTAAATTATTTTTATTTTATTGTTAAGATGAAGAAGATTTACCCATAATTTGATAAACATTAAATATTAAAAGATTCATTTATAAATGCAAGAAATTTTGTAGCGTTTTATTAAAAAGCCTATTATAAATGTAATACACAAAAAATAGAGTATATAGATTTATATTTTAATTGGGGAATGTTTCATATATCTTGTACATTTCTTATATTGCAGTATTTGATTTCTCTGTTAGAAGACTCGTTTCCGTACTTGTAAATTCAGTACTATTCGCTTTTTTATCTGTAATTTCTTCAACAGATTTCTGGGATGTTATTGTAGACTCACTAGTTGTAATTTCTTCTCCAGATTTTTCAGATGTAGCTTCAAGTTTCTTTATGGAAGTAGCAGATGTTTCTTCGATTGCATTTGTTGTTGATTCTAAATTAAATCTTGATGTTATATGAGATTTTATTGAGCTAGATTCAGAATTGGTAGTTTGTGAGTTTTTAGCAATATATGATTCCGCAGATGTTTTTGTATTTTCAGTAGCCGTAGATGTTGATTTGGAATTACTATCAGAAATGACTGTTGCTGCTTGGTAAAATAATGGTACAGTAGGATTATAAAAATCAAAATTATTTAAAGGCAGTTGTAAGCGAGTGTAGAGATTGTAAGGATAATATTGGTTCTGTATTATATTTGATATTTGATATCTTGAAAGCTCTGGAAGATGTAAGTTTAATAAATTTTCTCTAAATGCAGGATAAGATACATCTATAGAGGAAACTTGTTGAAGATTCGATTGAAGTCCAATAAGATTATCTGCTTCAGGATTTTTTGAAAATTTCTTTTTTTCATTAAGAACTTCAATATTTGAATCAAGAACTTGTTTGTTTTTATTTTCTTCAGCTTTTATGGATTCAGATTGTTCTAAAGATTTTATATTCTCTTGGTCTTTCTCTTTTTGTGAATATCCTTCCGATATTTTCATTAAATTTATTTCATTCTTCAATCTGTTCATAGAATCAGCACCAGTTGTAAAAACAACTTTACTTTCACCACCATTAAAATCTTGAGTTGTATAGGAATATCCACTGAAAGTAGGATTAGATTCAGATGTATACATCAATTTTGGCGTGATGGAAAATGCTAGTTGAATGTTCTGGTATGGAACAGAATATGTTTTCACTGACGTTAAATTTAACAAGAGCTGAAAAAGTGAAAAAAAAATTTTTTTTTCTTTAATATAAAGTTACGGATTATATTAATAATTAATTACCGGTACAAAATTTATATATTATATAATTCATAAATACGTGCACAAAGCCTTAAATTTATTAAAGTATTTAAAATGAAATTATTAAATTCTTAAATCACAGGAACAACACACTATAATGTGGCGTTACCCAGCTAATTCAATTGCTTATAATTTTCATAAAAATGAACATATTGTACACTTTTTTTTATCGAAACATCAGATTAAGAATTATAAGAGTACGAAGCAAATGTATGTATCATAAAATAATAAAAAAAATTATAAGTAATAGAAAAAGCATTGAATAAAAATCGAGTACGCCATACCGAAAAGACATTTAAGAATTAAAATGAATATCAAACATTTTGAAATATATAATAGTATATATAAATTTTTCATTTAAATGCAAATGCGTACTTACAATAGCAGTGATAAAAAACTGGAAAAGCACCATTGTCAAAGATTTGTTTTGTACAAAAGGATGTGACCTTAATGAAATTAAAAAGTGAACTACCAAGATATGTAATGATGTGATCTCTATATACACGGCTCCAACGCCACATTTAACATCCCCACCATTCTCATGTTTCGTACATCTCTGTTTCTGATGACCTGATTCTGTAAAAATGTCCTAAGGGGATATGAATCCTGTCCCTCGATTATCGTTGGATTCGTCGAAATGTAGTGCATGCAGATCGAATCTCAGATAATTTTTCGCATATTTTGGATTATGTATTATGCGTTTTGTAAAAATTGTTTAATTTCAAAGAATAAATTATTCTCATGGCTATTGATGCCATTTTATATAAAAAGATTTATTAAGTTGCTACAAAATTACATATGAATATATTTATGTAATATATTTACTTTCTTTAATAATAATATTAAAATATGTTTTATAAAAATATTTTATAATTAAATGATAAAATTATGTTTGTTATAGTTATAATATT